CCACATCAGCAGCGGTAGACCACAACACCAGCATCAGCAGCAGCGGTAGACCACAACACCAGCATCAGCAGCAGCGGTAGACCACATCACTAGCTGCAGCAGCAGCGGTAGACCACAACACTAGCATCAGCAGCAGTGGTAGACCACAACACTAGCATCAGCAGCAGCGGTAGACCACAACACCATCAGCAGCAGCGGTAGACCACAACACCCGCATCAGCAGCAGCGGTAGACCACAACACCAGCTTCAGCAACAGTGGTAGACCACATCAGCAGCGGTAGACCACAACACCAGCAGCAGCAGGGTAGACCACAACACCAGCATCAGCAGCAGCGGTAGACCACACAACACCAGCCATCAGCAGCAGCAGGTAGACCACAACACCAGCATCAGCAGCAGTGGTAGACCACAACACAGCGTTCAGACAAGCAGCGGTAGACCACAACACCAGCATCAGCAGCAGCAGGTAGACCACAACACCAGCATCAGCAGCAGCGGTAGACCACAACACCAGCATCAGCAGCAGCGGTAGACCACAACACCAGCATCAGCAGCAGCGGTAGACCACAACACCAGCAGCAGCGGTAGACCACAACACCAGCATCAGCAGCAGCGGTAGACCACAACACTAGCAGCAGCGGTAGACCACAACACCAGCATCAGCAGCAGCGGTAGACCACAACACCAGCTCAGCAGCAAGGTAGACCACAACACCAGCATCAGCAGCAGTGGTAGACCACAACACCAGCATCAGCAGCAGTGGTAGACCACAACACCAGCTTCAGCAGCAGCGGTAGACCACAACACTAGCATCAGCAGCAGCGGTAGACCACAACACTAGCATCAGCAGCAGAGGTAGACCACAACACCAGACCACCAGCCAGCAGCGGTAGACCACAACACTAGCATCAGCAGCAGCGGTAGACCACAACACCAGCATCAGCAGCAGCGGTAGACCACAACACCAGCATCAGCAGCAGCGGTAGACCACAACACTAGCATCAGCAGCAGCGGTAGACCACAACACCAGCATCAGCAGCAGCAGTAGACCACAACACTAGCAGCAGCGGTAGACCACAACACCAGCATCAGCAGCAGTGGTAGACCACAACACCAGCATCAGCAGCAGTGGTAGACCACAACACCAGCAGCAGCGGTAGACCACAACACCAGCATCAGCAGCAGGGTAGACCACAACACCAGCATCAGCAGCAGCGGTAGACCACAACACCAGCATCAGCAGCAGTGGTAGACCACATCAGCAGCAGTAGACCACAACACTAGCATCAGCAGCAGCGGTAGACCACAACACCAGCATCAGCAGCAGTGGTAGACCACATCAGCAGCGGTAGACCACAACACTAGCATCAGCAGCAGCGGTAGACCACAACACCAGCATCAGCAGCAGTGGTAGACCAACAACCACCCAGCATCAGCAGCAGCGGTAGACCACAACACTCAGCATCAGCAGCAGCGGTAGGGAACCACAACACCAGCATCAGCAGCAGCGGTAGACCACAACACCAGCATCAGCAGCAGCGGTAGACCACAACACCAGCATCAGCAGCAGCGGTAGACCACAACACCAGCATCAGCAGCAGCGGTAGACCACAACACCAGCATCAGCAGCAGCGGTAGACCATAACACCAGCATCAGCAGCAGCGGTAGACCACAACACCAGCAGCAGCGGTAGACCACAACACCAGCTTCAGCAGCAGCGGTAGACCACAACACCAGCATCAGCAGCAGCGGTAGACCACAACACCAGCATCAGCAGCAGAGGTAGACCACAACACCAGCTTCAGCAGCAGCAGCGGTAGACCACAACACCAGCTTCAACAGCAGCGGTAGACCACAACACCAGCATTAGCAGCAGCGGTAGACCACAACACCAGCATCAGCAGCAGCGGTAGACCACAACACCAGCATCAGCAGCAGCAGTAGACCACAACAGCATCAGCAGAGGTAGACCACAACACCAGCATCAGCAGCAGCGGTAAACCACAACACCAGCATCAGCAGAGGTAGACCACAACACCAGCAGCAGCAGAGGTAGACCACAACACCAGCAGCAGCAGTAGACCACAACACCAGCATCAGCAGCAGCGGTAGACCAGAACACCAGCATCAGCAGCAGTGGTAGACCACAGCACCAGCATCAGCAGCAGCGGTAGACCACAGCACCAGCATCAGCAGCAGCGGTAGACCACAACACCAGCATCAGCAGAGGTAGACCACAACACCAGCAGCAGCAGAGGTAGACCACAACACCAGCAGCAGCAGTAGACCACAACACCAGCATCAGCAGCAGCGGTGGACCACAACGCCAGCAGCAGCAGAGGTAGACCACAACACCAGCAGCAGCAGTAGACCACAACACCAGCATCAGCAGCAGCGGTAGACCACAACACCAGCAGCAGCAGTAGACCACAACACTAGCATCAGCAGCAGCGGTAGACCAGAACACCAGCATCAGCAGCAGTGGTAGACCACAACACCAGCATCAGCAGCAGCGGTAGACCACAACACCAGCATCAGCAGAGGTAGACCACAACAGCAGCAGCAGCGGTAGACCACAGCAGTAGCGAGCCATACCAGCAGATCCAGCAGCGGCAGACCACATCATTAGTGAGGCACAGCAGCTGCAGCAGCAGTAGCGAGCCACAGTACCAGCGAGCCATACCAGCAGAAACAGCAGCAAGAGCGACAGCAGCAGCAGGGAGAGAAGGCACCAGCATCCAGGAAGTGGGATGAACGTAGCATTATCAGTGACCAATTAACTCTTAACGGGAATATACTTACGAGCTATAAAGTGATATGGGAATTTCTCTCTCTCTCTCTCTCTCTCTCTCTCTCTCTCTCTCTCTCTCTCTCTCTCTCTCTCTCTCTCTCTCTCTCTCTCTCTCTCTCTCGCTCTCTCTCTCTCTCTCAGGTGAGGGACGTATGACTCAGTATCGTACATGAATTATTTCACCTGCGTCACCCACACTTGCTACATGACTCCTTGCTGTCTGCTACCTTCCATCTCTCTCACCACTCTTTCTCCTTCCGTCTCTGCCTTCTCATTTCTCCTTTTCTCTATTCACTCCCTCCCTTCTTGCCTGCTCATTTCTCTTTTCCTTTCCTTACTCTCCCTCGCTGTCTATTCCTTTTTCCCCTCCCCTCTCTCCTACCTCCTCGCTTCTTTCCAGTTCCCTTAGTGCAAGTTAAGTAGAGTTTGTTTTATATCTACCTGGTTTTGACAGTTTAGTGCAACTGTGTATGCTGAGGTATGTAATGTTTTAATATGTTGTGAGGCTGTTGCAACAGTGAACCTGCTTTGTTCACCTATAGATACATTCGTAGATATATAATGTAGTCCCCCACACACTATATATATATACGTGTGTGTGCGTATAATGTATAATGTCGGGACGAATAGGTAAAACTTGCTATTTTTGCTTAAATAGCAACGCTCTTCTTGCCGAATAAGGCAAGCGAAAATTTGTATATGCAATAATTTTGTAAAAAAAAATCATTCTGAACCTAACGAAAAAAATATATTTCATTGTGTTTGTTTATTATTAAATTATTGTAAACTTATTTAAAATATATTTAGTTGGATTTGACTAAATTAAACTGTGCTTGTTATAATAAGGTCAGGTAAATTTTCTAATTTTGATACAAAATTATTAATTTATACATTAACATAAATGAAAATATATATCTTTAAACGTATAAGAGAAAATTTGCTAATTGACCAGTTTACCTATTAATATATATATATATATATATATATATATATATATATATATATATATATATATATATATATATATATATATATATATATATATATATATATATATGAGAGAGAGAGGTATGTTTACTAGTTTACTATAATCATTATTTTAGGTACAGTATTAAGGTATTCTTGACTGGTGGTGAAGAAGTTACATGAAGCTTTAATGACCCTGGTGTAGTTGGTAGGTTTTAAACTCTATTAACCAACGAAACAGCGAGCTCACAAGTGCATGAAAACACACAGGTTTGACTGGATGACAGACCTCACGAAGGCTTCCTTCTAGGGATAAGTAGAACGTGCAGTGGGTGGTAGCCATCACAGTGTTGTGTGTGATCACCGGTGTCCTTGTTTAACTTACCTGCACTTACCTTTGTGTTAATTAGTGTTTGTGTATGCACCTAAGGCCGTGATGCACCTGCCTTGTGCCATCACTCAGCGCCAGGTTGGTAGCCTAGTGTGGCTGTCTTTGTCTAGTGGCACGTAGTGTTGCTCCTGCTGCAGTGTAATTAATGTTGCTGCTCCTTCCTTACGCTGAACACTGTGAATGTATTATGTACAACCAAGTCAACGCCACCTCCGTCGTCTGTTGCCCTAAATATGAAAAAAATCTTCAAAATCTATAAGAATAGGCATATATTTAAATTTAACCACGTTACCTTCTCCTTTATGTAATTTGTTTATTGGCAGTTAATTCTACGGAAGTGTTAGATAATTTACATTAGTATACCCTAATACAAACTAACTAATTTATAATTTTGTATGCTTCGATGTCAGATTGCTAGGGCTATGTGGGCATGCCGTGGGCAGCAACAGGTAGATTGATCAGGTAGACAACAGTCTGGGCTGAAGCCGGACAGCAACAGTAGAACGGTAACGTTGCTCTTCTCTAGACTGGTCATAGCTGTCACACAGGTACATCGTTCAGAAACCGACGTGCAGAAACCCTTTAGAAAATGTAAAGGTTCGTGTTGAGGGTAGGTTGCCTATTAGGGTATAAGCTGGGTCTGGTGTTGGATTAAGCTGAGAGGGTAAGGTCTGGACTGGGTCAATGGAAAGTGAAAGTTGCTTGTATCATCGGTGACCAGGCAACAAGAGTCTTGCGCAAGTATTAATCAGATGGAATAATGCATTCTCGAATTTCCATCAGTTTTGTTTACATAGTATTAACCTTGGTAATAAATACCGACAAGTTGGTTTAGAAAGACACGTAAGCAAACACTATGACATATTTATTAGAAAACGTTTCGGTCCTGGGACCTTGATCACTTCTAACATACAGAGGTATATGTATGTATAATGTTCGCCAAGACCGACGTGACCTGAGGAATGTCATAAGAACATAAGAATGGAGGAACACTGTAGAAGGCCTACTGGCCCATGCGAGGCAGGTCCTTATCAAAACAACCTCTACCTATGATGAGGACGCTTAGATGATGAAATCATGTGACTCCTGTGTTGTTGGGTTGGTGGTGCTTAAGTATCATGTATGCCAATGTTTTTGAAATTTTGTAGTTTCCAGTGTTGCGTTCTATAGTGTCGGTGACGGCGATTAGTGAGGCTTCTAGGCACCGTCGGCGTCTGAGGTCTGGTTCGGTGAGAACGAGTTGTGCCTCATTCCAGTTCATCAAATGCCCCGTGGAGTCTCTGTGGAGGACACAGGCGTACCTTACATCGTCTCTGTTAGAGGCATTTCGATGCTCATTCAGGCGGGCTGCAAGATCTCTGCCTGTCTCGCCTACATATTTCTTGGGACAGAACCCACAGGGGATAGTGTAGACGCCTGCTGTAGAAGTTAGAGGTGTGGGGCTGCGTTTCGTAGTGAGGTCTTTGATAGATGATGTGTTTATGGTGGAAACGTTGATGTTACTCATAGCAAGTGCCCGGCGAGTATTCGTGGCAACATCACCACATGGGAGTACTATGAACTACTTAGGGTGCTGTTCCATGGGCGGTTTGTTGAGGATAGCTTGTGCCTTGAGTCTGCAGTCTCGGATGAAGAAAGATGGGAACTGAAGACGTGTAAAGGCTTGTGTTATGTAAGTGCATTCTTCTTCTAGAAAACAAGGGCTGGAGATGCGAAGAGCTCTCAAGAAGAAGCCAATGAGGACTCCTCTCTTAGTGCGGGTGTCTTGGTGTCAATAAAAGTGTATAAGATCGTCCTTGTTGGTAGGTTTTCTGTACACTTTGAAGAGAAGTTTGTCACTGTCGGGAGATCTGTACAGTAGAACGTCGAGGAAAGGAAGTTTGCCATTATTTTCGAGTTCAAGTGTAAACTTTATTGATGGTTCAACTGCATTGATCTTGTTGAGAAGGGCCTGGATATTGAGATGTCTCGGATAGAAAACCAATACATCATCAACGTATCTTAGCCAGGTAACGGTGTTGGGAATGAGGGTGCTGAATTTCTCTGTCTCCAGGTTTTCCATGAAGAGGTTGGCAAGCACAGCACTGAGTATAAAAAAACAACAACTTTGAAGTACATGTTTATATTGGAACACCGTTTTTATCTTTTATAACTATCAAATCACAAAACTTGATAAAGATCTAAGCAGATCAAGTTATACGTCTGAATTTCTAAATGTATATACCGACTGAAAAGCTGTCCCAATAAAAGCTGAACTTCATGAAATACTTGCATCAGATTATGACCTAAATTGATCGAAATGTGTCCCAGTACAAGTGTGTTCTGCAGAGTCTTTTACTCACTACTGCCAAGTAACTTACTATGTGGCACCGTATCAAATATATTATTAGTCAAAGAATATGCAGTTCGTAAAGTAAAAGGACACAAGTGCAACTAATGTGACATTTATTGTGGCAACGTTTCGCTCTCCAGGAGCTTTATCAAGCCATTACAAACAATACATGGACACAGAGGGTATATAAAGGCTCAGAGTGAGGTGAATACTAGTGAGGTACCATTTCGATGTTCACTAGTGGTGGTAGTAGTAGTAGTAGTAGTAGTAGTGGTAGTGACAAAAGTAATACAATATGGTAGAGCAATTAATTCGTACATGAGTAAAAGGATATAAAAGCTATTACTTGGGTAACATAAAAATAGGTTGGACAAATATAAACTGGAATGAGGCAGCTTGTTTCAGTGTTCACTCTCTGTGCTTTGTGTAGTATAACAGGAGAGACTATGTGATGGCAGGGTTTACTGTTTTCAGGAGGATTCTTGCTAAGACTTCGGAGATGGTGAAGCTGCCGTTGTTTTGTTTAATTGTATTCGAAACAGCGATCAGTGCTGATTCAAGGCACTTGCGTGTGCGGAAATTAGTTTCTTTTATCACTAATTGGGCGTCTCTGAATTTCATAAGATGATTGGTGGAATTTCGGTGTTGTACACAGGCGTTGTTTAAGTTGTCGTTCCTACATGCGTATATGTGTTCATTGAGGCGGGTGTCGAGGTTTCTTGCTGTTTCACCTACGTAGATCTTGTCACAGCCTCCACAGGGTATAGTGTAAACTCCTGCATTGACTGGTTCGTGGTGCTTGGGTTTTGTCCTGGTTAGATCCTTTATTGAAGTGGTAGAAGCGATGGCGACTCTGGTGTTAGCTTGTGAAAGTACTTTTGAGACGTTTAGTGCAACCTGGCTGTTGGGAAGAATTATAACTTTGTTGGGAGCGGTGTTGATGCGTGGAGAATTGATGATCTGAAGAGCTCTTTTCTTGCAGTCTTTGATGAAAAAAGAAGGAAATTGTAACTCAGTGAATGTTTGGTGAATGTAAGTACATTCCTCGTCAAGAAACTCAGGACTACAAATTCGGTATGCTCTTAGGAAAAACCCGATGATGATGCCTCTTTTGGTCTTGGTATCTTGATACCAAGACCAAAAGAGGCATCATCATCGGGTTTTTCCTAAGAGCATACCGAATTTGTAGTCCTGAGTTTCTTGACGAGGAATGTACTTACATTCACCAAACATTCACTGAGTTACAATTTCCTTCTTTTTTCATCAAAGACTGCAAGAAAAGAGCTCTTCAGATCATCAATTCTCCACGCATCAACACCGCTCCCAACAAAGTTATAATTCTTCCCAACAGCCAGGTTGCACTAAACGTCTCAAAAGTACTTTCACAAGCTAACACCAGAGTCGCCATCGCTTCTACCACTTCAATAAAGGATCTAACCAGGACAAAACCCAAGCACCACGAACCAGTCAATGCAGGAGTTTACACTATACCCTGTGGAGGCTGTGACAAGATCTACGTAGGTGAAACAGCAAGAAACCTCGACACCCGCCTCAATGAACACATATACGCATGTAGGAACGACAACTTAAACAACGCCTGTGTACAACACCGAAATTCCACCAATCATCTTACGAAATTCAGAGACGCCCAATTAGTGATAAAAGAAACTAATTTCCGCACACGCAAGTGCCTTGAATCAGCACTGATCGCTGTTTCGAATACAATTAAACAAAACAACGGCAGCTTCACCATCTCCGAAGTCTTAGCAAGAATCCTCCTGAAAACAGTAAACCCTGCCATCACATAGTCTCTCCTGTTATACTACACAAAGCACAGAGAGTGAACACTGAAACAAGCTGCCTCATTCCAGTTTATATTTGTCCAACCTATTTTTATGTTACCCAAGTAATAGCTTTTATATCCTTTTACTCATGTACGAATTAATTGCTCTACCATATTGTATTACTTTTGTCACTACCACTACTACTACTACTACTACTACTACCACCACTAGTGAACATCGAAATGGTACCTCACTAGTATTCACCTCACTCTGAGCCTTTATATACCCTCTGTGTCCATGTATTGTTTGTAATGGCTTGATAAAGCTCCTGGAGAGCGAAACGTTGCCACAATAAATGTCACATTAGTTGCACTTGTGTCCTTTTACTTTACATATTGTCGGTAATTCTACCAACTTTATTACAATATGCAGTTCACCTTATAAATATGCAAGAACTGACTCCACTCGCGTCGAACAGAAAAAGCTTAAACTGTGATCCCTAAAGGACACTACTATCACTAGTAGTAGTAGTAGTAGTAACACACTTACCCAGGGACCTTCAGCACTGGAAGTCAGTAAGGTTAATACTGGTTTAGAAAGACACGTAAGCAAACACTATGACATATTTATTAGAAAACGTTTCGGTCCTGGGACCTTGATCACTTCTAACATACCGAGGTAGAAAGACATTATATATATAGGCGGAGAGTGAGGTGTGACGCACGTTGGAGGAAGAATGAGACACTTGTTCAACATTTGGGAATCTTTACTGAGGAAACGTTTCACCAGTCAGTGACTTCTTCAGTTCGATACAGAGAAGAACGGTGAAAGATGAGGAGAATGAGGTAATCAGTTCCTCACCCTAGAGTCGACTCTAGGCTGAGGGACTGATTACCTCATTCTCCTCCCTATCATTCACCGTTCTTCTCTGTACTGGACTGAAGAAGCCACTGACTGGTGAAACGTTTCCTCAGCAAAGAATCCTAAATGTTGCACAAGTCTCATTCTTCAACTTGTCGGTTTTCTAAGCCATTACATCCCACAGCTGGAGGAGGACGAACAGGTACAGCTGAAGGTGCTAACGTTGATAAGAGAATATTTGTACATTGGGAAAGGCAAAAAGTTAGGTTTGTTTCACTTTAATAGTTTAGATAAGAAAACTCAAATCTTTATTAAGATAATATATTTTTTAGTTCTTGTATTATCAGTGGATTAGTTTTTCCCTTTGTTAGATATTGTTTTATACTTTTAGATTGTGTGTGTGAAAAACCTGCTATTTTTTATCTAGCTAAGATGAAAAAATACCACAGCGAAACTAGGAAATAAAACCTGAGCGCTTTCCTCTTCAAATGTGTAAGCACATGAAATCGCTCGTTTTATTTCCTGTTTTCTCTGTGGTATATTGTCATATTGCAGTCACGCGTTTTATTGCGATTTCTTCCTTAACGAGCCAAACTCTTTGTGAATTAAGTATTTTCACGCATTGCTAAGTAATAAATGTCTTCCTCCAGCACTTGAATAACTTGCTGGAGAACTACCTGGAGCCATTGAAGAGTGCGTCGTTCCTGAGCTCGGCCGAGGTTAACGCTCTCTTCGGTAACATCCGCGAGATCGTAGCCTTCCAGCGGCTATTCTTGCAGGCGCTGCAAGAAGCTCTCGATATGGAGCCGGGCTTCCTCTCCTTCGACCAGCCATACGAGTTTAAGGTCAGTGTGATACTTCGTAGTGATTTCATCATAAAGTTATGGTTCCTTTATTTAAGTATTTCTATTGGTCTTCGTTTGGTCAGAGCTCTTTATTTTGTCTTCGAGGTTTAAGTAACGCGTCAGCAGTATGATCCTAAGGTCATACTGCTGAAGCTTGTTTACCTCCTTTTTAAAGACTTCGACTTACCGTGTTGACCTTTGTTATAACTTTTTATCTTTGGGGTTAAAGTTGATATTAACCGTGGTCTTTAAGTCTTTGGGAATCTAATAGACTGTGTGTGTGTGTGTGTGTGTGTGTGTGTGTGTGTGTGTGTGTGTGTGTGTGTGTGTGTGTGTGTGTGGTGAGTGTGTGTGGAGTATTTGAAAATATATCAGTTTTGTTTATGGAGTACCGGGAGTAAAGTCTGCATAACGTCATATTTTCCTAAAGTCACTTCATTTTCCTTTGCTTCCCTCAGAACGTGTTGTTCTCCATCGGGAGTGCATTCCTCTACTACGCCAGCCAATTTAAGCTCTACAGTTCCTTCTGCGCCTCACATTCAAAAGCTCAAAAAGTTCTACATCCCAGTAAGTACCCCTTTTATGTTAATATATATATATATATATATATATATATATTATATATATATATATATATATATATATATATATATATATATATATATATATATATATATATATATACGTACATACAATAATCGCGAGTAAGCGATGCAAGATGCAAAACAACCACGGGGGGAGTTGAATGATAGCTCTAGGCCTTTCGTGTTAGTCAACACATCTTCGAGAGCTTGCAGTGTTGCAGAAATGAGTATTAAGTCCAGGTAGATTCGTTTTTGTGGGTAAATGGTTCAGAAAATCATTTATCTTTATTGAGGAAGCGTTTCCACAATAAAGATACCCAAGTGTTGCACATGTATATAACTTATCATTTTCATATTTTTGATGCAGTAGCGTATTGCTGACAAGTGTGAAGGCTGATAAGTTGCAGAAGTTTTAAGTGGAACAATGTTTCTCTTTGTATAGCTTTTTCAAGCTAGACAGAGATTACAGTTTATATGTCTGTTTACTTCTGCAAGTTAAGGTAGATGAGTAGAGGTTAGCTTTCTCTTGGATGATGGCCCTCTAACAAGGAATTACTGGACTGTGAAAATCATAAGTTGGGTCATTGACGTAGGAAGAGTGCATCATCATCATCATCATCATCACCATTATCATCATCATCAATGACCATCATCATCGCCATCATCATCATCATCTGCTGGTCGACGTTACTCTTGATATATCACTTGATAACTCCATTTCGTATGAACCAACGTTAGTTGCATCCTTGTTTATTTGCCAAACATTTTGTCGGTAATTCTATCATTAGTCATTATGATAGTCATGAGATGCGCTAAACTCGTAAGGGTCACGCAGGACCTAAGAAATGGGAGATAATTGGATCTCATCCCAAAGAGTATATACACATACGCATTAATTAAAATTGGTATGAAGGCGTCGCTGTTATCGCTAGTCTTCTTGCAAGCACTCGCTCCTGCAGAGTCTTTAGGCTCGCAAGAAACGGCGAAACAGAACTCCCCTTTTAGTCTTTCTTTTGTGATTAGAGGAGAGAAGTATCAAGTTGTTCCTGATTGGTTAGTTTGTGGTAAAGTTTGAATTTAGGTTGGTGCTCTAGTTTTGTCTGGACACCCAGAAATGTGAGGTTTCTTTCCTTATATTCTTGGATTGTAAAGTGGATGGAAGGATCAACTGAGTCCTCTTGACATTTTTAGGATGAAATGTCTAGGTGTAGTTAGGATGGCGTCGTCCACGTGGAGGTGGTGGTGGGCTGGAGGCACAAGAGGAGGAGAATAGTGGGAGGCGGGAAGGAAGAGTCAATACGCATGCTCTTATACATGCACGGAAGTGAGTGAGTTGTCACGTTCTCACTCACTGATGACTGGTCACCTACACACACACACACACACCTTACTCTCACTGTATAGTGTACTCACCTGTTTGTAGCTGCAGGGGTCGAGTCACAGCTCGTGTCCCGGCATCTTCGCTGGTCGCCACTAGGTTCAAATTCCCTGCTCCAAGAGCTTTATCGTACCGTGCTTACACTTTCCTATATCCCCTCACTTATGTAGGACATATAGATTATATATTTTATGTATGTATGCATAAATATACATCTGCACACGCCATGCATATAAAAAATTTCATGTAAATATACATACGTATGTACATAAATACGTATATACATATTTTTATTTTTTTCTGCAGTGGAATTTTATGACCCCCCTCCACTATTCCATTTGTTTGCATTAAGGTAGAGGAGGCTGGGATTATGGAAAACGGGAATACCTTTCTGGACCCATGTCCCTCTTTCCTCTAGTGTCGTCGGGTTTAGCTCCTTTAATCTCTCCTCAGCACATACCAGTTGCAAACCTGTGTGTGTGTGTGTTGTGTGTTGTGTGTAATCACTTATTTGTGGCTGCAGGGGTCGATTCATAGCATTTCAGTGTAGTATTTTAGGTCAGAACTGTTCAGGCTTCAGTACTCATCAGGTGACAATTACCTGGCCATTGTGGGGGAGGGAGGAACGCCCAAACCAGCGGCCATCCACCTCCTCTTCTCCCCCTCTTCCCTCTTTTATTCTCTCTTTATTCTCATTTTTAATATTTTCATATTCATTTTCTTCCGTTTTCTATCCTAATAAGATATTTTTTTATCTCTCGTTCCTTTCTTCTTCACCCATGCTTTTATTCTTCGTTTTTTCACCCCCTCCTCTCCAACCAGTCTTCTGCTCTTTCTCCCGCTTCTCTTTCGCTTCTGTCTTCCTTATACTTCCTGTCTGCCTAACAGGTGTCTAAAAGCTGTGTTATGTAGAACCTTTATGCCGACGTTTCGCCCATGCAGCGGGCTTTATTAAAGCCATCTGTGTGTGACTTAAGTCCACTGTGTAGTTGAAATGTTGCCACTAACAGTTATATGTTGACAATACAATTATATGTTGCTACTAACACTACTGTTGCCTCCCTTCACTCCCCTTTCTGTTGTGCCACTATAACTACTCTTGGTACTTTCTACTACCCTTGCTACTCCCTTTACTACTTCCACTACTAGCCTTACCACTACTATTATTTCTTCCTCTGTGCCATCTCTGTCCCCCCCGCCTATATATACACTAACTCCCTCGCTCTTTTGTGTTAGTGTGACTTTGTAAATGGTCGAAGTCGGACTGAAAGGTCGTCATAAGCTTCTCTCTCATATGTGCGGGTTATTTGTGTATGTTTCCGATACAGTTGTATGTTGCTATATAACTGTATTTGTGTTGGGTATCTCGCACTATAACAATCCCAGAACTACCGCAGTTACCCCTCTCTTTTAAAATACCTGATTGCTTCGCATTCTGCAAGGAAAATAAGTTGAATAACTAGAACTTTCAGAACAGAGATGCTAAGCCAGTGATGACACTGTCACTCGTTCTCACTTAGTCTGAATATTGTTGTAGACTAACGATCCCCTTCAAGGCAGACGAAATTGCGGAACTGAGAAATGGGTAGAGAACTTTCACAGCCGGTATGAACTCAAACTTCTAAATTACTGAAAGTACCGCAAGTCCTTAGAATATAGGCGAGACAGATACACGATAATCTACACCTGGAAGATAGTGAGAGGGATTAATCCCGAACTTGTACCCGAAACTGTTATATGTAAACACAAGAGGATTGGCAGACGGTGCTGGTGATGGTTGTGGTGGTTCTTGGCGTAGTTGTGGTGGTGATGGTTGTGGTGGTGGTTGCCTTGGTGGTGGTTCTCGGCGTGGTTGTGGTGGTGGCGTTTGTTCCCGTCCTGTGAAGGTATTTTAACTCGTATGATAACTCCGCACACGGGAGGTGTTGCCCACATAACAGATTCAGACGTCTTCTTGCCCTGCCTTACCCGTCCACACTCTGGGGCACTTTCCCCGGGCGCTGTATGACCCCTTACGGGTTAAGCGCCTCCACGTGACTTTAATAATAATTTTTAATGGTATATTCTTATTTCGTCCCGCAGTTTGTTTTTAAAAATGGTTGTTCTTCCCCGTTTATTTTGGGTTGAAATAAAGTTTGTGATTTTGTACAATTATTATATTGTTATATATTGTTAATTGTTGTTATATTTAAAGTAACTACATTTCTGAGTTACACTTGAGGTGATTATATTCCAGACAGTTTATATCAGTTCTCTAAACTACATTTTAAGGAGAGAATTAAGACCAACTTAATTTTTAGGTTATGACTTGTAATCAGTGCAACTGTGTTTGTTCGTTACAATTTTGGTAATTATATTTTCAGTTATATCTAGAGTAACTACATTCAGCACTTATATTTAAGGTAACTACGTTCGTTATATTTAAAAGGTAACTACATTCCACGGTTTCCGTTAGTGAATTGTCTTTCTACCGTATCTGCCTCCCAAGAATTCCTCGTCCTCCTCCTCACGGAGTGTGAGAGCCCGAGGCTAGAATTCCACATCTGAACATCCCAGCTTTTGTGTGTGTACATCCTGTATGCTCTCTCTCTCTCTCTCTCTCTCTCTCTCTCTCTCTCTCTCTCTCTCTCTCTCTCTCTCTCTCTCTCTCTCTCTCTCTCTCTCTCTCTCTCTCTCTCTGTCTCTCTCTCTGTCTCTCTCTCTGTCTCTCTCTCTCTCTCTCTCTCTGTCTCTCTCTGTCTCTCTCTGTCTCTGTCTCTGTCTCTGTCTCTGTCTCTGTCTCTCTCTCTCTCTCTCTCTCTCTCTCTCTCTCTCTCTCTCTCTCTCTCTCTCTCTCTCTCTCTCTCTCTCTAATACGAGACAGTGGGAAAAGAGAGCAGCTAAGAAAACACACGAGCCACAGGGAAGTTAGAAAATATTTTTTTGTTGTCTTAGGGTAATGTACAAATGGAGTAAAATTGTTTACATAGTAGTGGAAGCAAATTCTACGTACAGTTTCAAGAGTAGGTATGATAGGGCCCCGGAGGCCTGGGATTAGTGCATCGTGGTGAATTTTTGAGGTTGAGGGTGGGACCAGGAGGCGAGCCTCGACTCCTGCAAACAACTCTGAGTGTAAGTAGGTGAATACACTCACTGTGAACCCGTAGTCCATGGACACCAAAACTCTTCAACTCATCAACCCTTTATGAAGTTTAGATTATTCATCAACCCCCAAATATTTATCATATAAAAAATAATTTAATAGTACGAATAATAATACATAATGACTTAGTAAAAGAAATAGTTAATATTTAAATTATGAAAAATATAAGTCAGTGATGAGCACCAAGACGGTCACTGTTGTGTGTTTGGTGAGTTTGAGTGGTGAGTCACCACACTCACATGACGGTCACTGTTGTGTGTTTGGTGAGTTTGAGTGGTGAGTCACCACACTCACTCACAAGACGGTCACTGTTGTGTGTTTGGTGAGTTTGAGTGGTGAGTCACCACACTCACATGACGGTCACTGTTGTGTGTTTGGTGAGTTTGAGTGGTGAGTCACCACACTCACTCACAAGACGGTCACTGATGTGTGTTTGGTGAGTTTGAGTGGTGAGTCACCACACTCACATGACGGTCACTGTTGTGTGTTTGGTGAGTTTGAGTGGTGAGTCACCACACTCACATGACGGTCACTGTTGTGTGTTTGGTGAGTTTGAGTGGTGAGTCACCACACTCACTCACATGACGGTCACTGTTGTGTGTTTGGTGAGTTTGAGTGGTGAGTCACCACACTCACTCACATGACGGTCACTGTTGTGTGTTTGGTGAGTTTGAGTGGTGAGTCACCACACTCACTCACATGACGGTCACTGTTGTGTGTTTGGTGAGTTTGAGTGGTGAGTCACCACACTCACTCACATGACGGTCACTGTTGTGTGTTTGGTGAGTTTGAGTGGTGAGTCACCACACTCACTCACATGACGGTCACTGTTGTGTGTTTGGTGAGTTTGAGTGGTGAGTCACCACACTCACCAAGACGGTCACTGATTGTGTGTTTGGTGAGTTTGAGTGGTGAGTCACCACACTCACATGACGGTCACTGTTGTGTGTTTGGTGAGTTTGAGTGGTGAGTCACCACACTCACATGACGGTCACTGTTGTGTGTTTGGTGAGTTTGAGTGGTGAGTCACCACACTCACTCACAAGACGGTCACTGATGTGTGTTTGGTGAGTTTGAGTGGTGAGTCACCACACTCACATGACGGTCACTGTTGTGTGTTTGGTGAGTTTGAGTGGTGAGTCACCACACTCACATGACGGTCACTGTTGTGGTTTGGTGTTTGGTGTGAGTCACCACACTCACTCACAGACGGTCACTGATGTGTGTTTGGTGAGTTTGAGTGGTGAGTCACCACACTCACTCACATGACGGTCACTGTTGTGTGTTTGGTGAGTTTGAGTGGTGAGTCACCACACTCACATGACGGTCACTGTTGTGTGTTTGGTGAGTCACCACACTCACTCACATGACGGTCACTGTTGTGTGTTTGGTGAGTTTGAGTGGTGAGTCACCACACTCACTCACATGACGGTCACTGTTGTGTGGTGAGTTTGAGTGGTGAGTCACCACACTCACTCACATGACGGTCACTGTGTGGTTTGTGAGTTGGTGTGAGTCACCACACTCACTCACAAGACGGTCACTGATGTGTGTTTGGTGAGTTTGAGTGGTGAGTCACCACACTCACTCACAAGACGGTCACTGATGTGTGTTTGGTGAGTTTGAGTGGTGAGTCACCACACTCACTCACAAGACGGTCACTGATGTGTGTTTGGTGAGTTTGAGTGGTGAGTCACCACACTCATCAAAGACGGTCACTGATGTGTGTTTGGTGAGTTTGAGTGGTGAGTCACCACACTCACATGACGGTCACTGTTGTGTGTTTGGTGAGTTTGAGTGGTGAGTCACCACACTCACATGACGGTCACTGTTGTGTGTTTGGTGAGTTTGAGTGGTGAGTCACCACACTCACAAGACGGTCACTGTTGTGTGTTTGGTGAGTTTGAGTGGTGAGTCACCACACTCACATGACGGTCACTGTTGTGTGTTTGGTGAGTTTGAGTGGTGAGTCACCACACTCACTCACAAGACGGTCACTGTTGGTGTGGTTTCTGAGGTCTGTTGAGTGGTGAGTCACCACACTCACATGACGGTCACTGTTGTGTGTTTGGTGAGTTTGAGTGGTGAGTCACCACACTCACTCACATGACGGTCACTGTTGTGTGTTTGGTGAGTTTGAGTGCTGAGTCACCACACTCACATGACGGTCACTGTTGTGTGGTGAGTCACCACACTCACTCACATGACGGTCACTGTTGTGTGGTGAGTCACCACACTCACATGACGGTCACTGTTGTGTGGTGAGTGAGTGGTGAGTCACCACACTCACTCACAAGACGGTCACTGATGTGTGTTTGGTGAGTTTGAGTGGTGAGTCACCACACTCACTCACATGACGGTCACTGTTGTGTGTTTGGTGAGTTTGAGTGGTGAGTCACCACACTCACATGACGGTCACTGTTGTGTGTTTGGTGAGTTTGAGTGGTGAGTCACCACACTCACTCACAAGACGGTCACTGTTGTGTGTTTGGTGAGTTTGAGTGGTGAGTCACCACACTCACTCACATGACGGTCACTGTTGTGTGTTTGGTGAGTTTGAGTGGTGAGTCACCACACTCACATGACGGTCACTGTTGTGGTTTGTGAGTTGAGTGAGTCACCACACTCACTCACAAGACGGTCACTGTTGTGTGTTTGGTGAGTTTGAGTGGTGAGTCACCACACTCACTCACATGACGGTCACTGTTGTGTGGTGAGTTTGAGTGGTGAGTCACCACACTCACATGGCGGTCACTGTTGTGTGTTTGGTGAGTTTAAGTGGTGTCACCACACTCACTCACATGACGGTCACTGTTGTGAGTTTGAGTGGTGAGTCACCACACTCACTCACAAGACGGTCACTGATGTGTGTTTGGTGAGTTTGAGTGGTGAGTCACCACACTCACTCACAAGACGGTCACTGATGTGTGTTTGGTGAGTTTGAGTGGTGAGTCACCACACTCACTCACAAGACGGTCACTGTTGTGTGTTTGGTGAGTTTGAGTGGTGAGTCACCACACTCACATGACGGTCACTGTTTTGTGTTTGGTGAGTCACCACACTCACTCACAAGACGGTCACTGATGTGTGTTTGGTGAGTTTGAGTGGTGAGTCACCACACTCACTCACAAGACGGTCAATTGTGTGTTTGGTGAGTTTGAGTGGTGAGTCACCACACTCACTCACATGACGGTCACTGTTGTGTGTTTGGTGAGTCACCACACTCACTCTTATAAAGAACTTTGTTTTGCAAAGCATTTCTGGCAAATTTGGTCAGTTTCGTCCCCAGGATATGACCCACACCAGACGACTAACACCCGGGAACCTACTTACTGCTAGGTGAACATGGACAGCAGGTGTCTTCAGGAGATGCTTCCCAATGTGTCCACCCGTACTGGAGATCGAACCACTGACCTCTTTGTGTTTTTAAATATATATTCTTTACCAAGAAGAATTTACGTTTTTAAAGACCATTAATTTTTAATGTTAGGCGAACATGAAGGCAAACTTGTTGAGGTGGTGATAGGGACCAGTAGACAGGTAGCAGGTGTGGCTAGCCTCTCTGGTCACTCCTGTTGACGCCCACACCCACGCCCACACTTGTACACACACCTGACTTGATGCTACCAGCAGAAGTATTGCTTGGTGGGGTGGTGGTGAAGATTGTATGCATAGTGTACTCACCTAGTTGTGGTTGCAGGAGTCATTTCGTAGCTCCTGGCCCCGCATCTTCGCTGGTCACTACTAGGTCCACTCTCTCCCTTCTGTGTGTGTGTGTGAGAGAGAGAGAGAGAGAGAGTGCTTCAGTATTCTATTCTTTATTGTTTAACTCTCATCATCCAGTAAGTGTTTAAAACAAACCAAACACACACACACACACACACACACACACACACACACACACACACACACACACACACACACACACACGTACGTACGTACGTACGTTCTTGTGTTTTACTTCCTCTTCTAATTATTGTCTTGTGTCTTGGATATTGACACTTTCTCTTTAAGACCTTTAAGGATAAAAGAACCAATCTCACGCCTTGTCAGATTCTCGGAGTTCTGCTTGACAGGTTGCACAGGTTCTGCTTGACATGTTTCATGAACCCTAACTTCTTGACAGGATTTCATGGCTCCTGTCTGATATTTTCATGGCTCCTGTCTGATATTTTCATGGGTCCTGTTGCTCGACAGTTCCATGGGTCTTGTTAAAAGTTACCAGGTGATACAGCCAGCACGCTGCTCTATCAGCTGGTGCAGCTACACGTAATTGTGTTTGTGTGTGTGTGTGTGTGTGTGTGTGTTGGTGCCTGCGTAAGTTAGAACAGGTCTGGTTGCGCGTGCGGGGGCGATCCTAGCTACCTCTGCTACTTTTTCTTTTATTTGTGCGTGCGTCGTCAGCCGATTTGCAGTTCCGAGGCGAATGATCTTTTGAGAACCTTAAGCATATAACAGTAACATTGTATAACAGTGCAGAACATTATAGTGGCATGAACACGTAAGATGATATGCAAATCCTACACACTTGTACATGCATTCACTATGCACTTACCTTTGACTTTCCCCGTCTGTGCTTCCTAGGTATGAGTCCTGTATTCACTTTTTTTTATTGGGGAGGCCTAGTCTGAGACCGGGGTGCGGAGGCAATAACAATTATCGAATGAATGATGATGAATATGCTTCCTTCCTTCTTTGGGTCACCCTACAATGGTGGGAAACAGATCTTATGAAAAGATATATGTTAATACATTGCAGTCCAGTAGAATTCGGTACAGCAACCATGCAGGGGCTTTCTATATAGTATATCATTGATGTCAGCTATGGTCTGTATAAGTTGTATCATGTACTTGTAGAAATAGATTATTATTAGTATTACGTGCCCCAGTTTGAGAGTTTGAACAGGTGTTAATGTAGCGGGTCAGTAGTGGGGTTGGAGAAGGAGTGGCTTCAGGCTCTCACCTACGTTGCTTGATCAAATTAAGTAGGTGTTTTTATCTATGTTGTGAAGATACAAAACAGCAGAGGTGCCACGATAGTGCCTTGGGGAACTGAGGTTTTTAATTTGCTGATGCTGGATTTTGTTCTGTTTATTACTATTTGCGTTTTGTGTATTAGAAACCTGAAAAATCTGTCTTCCCAGTTACGCCTATGGCTCTCATTTTGTGTGCAGTTACCCCATGATCACATTTGTCAAACGCCTTTGCAAAATGTGTATATATCACATCTGAGTTTTGGTTTTCTTCCATCGCCTCCGTAATTCTGTCATAGTGATTTAGCAGTTGCGACAGGCATGGTCTTCCAGTTGTAAAACCGTGCTGGTTTGGCTTATGCAGACTTTGTTGTTCCATGGTGTTCACAATTTGACATCTCATCACTCGTATATTTTTATAATGTGGCTAGTTAGGCTTACTGGTCTGTAATTTGTAACTAGTGTTCTAATACCTCCCTTATGCAAAGGAACTATGTCTGCACTCATTAAGATCTTTGGTATTTCATGTAGATCTATTCGGTGTGGAGTTGCAAGTCCTCTGCTCTCTGTCTTTCCCTTGTACTTCAGTGTGCTACATTCTACTAGAAGTATTCCAGTCTTGGATGAAAGATCTCCGCAAGTTGCGGTGTGTGTGTGTAATGATGTTAACAATTTATACAAATAACATTGTTTGCGCCGAATGACTTTCACAGGTTTACTGCTTCATAAATAAACCACATTGTATTTCCTGTGTTTATTTTGTTTATTAAATAACTGCAAGGAGGCTGGCGGGTAATTAGCAAGCGGCCTTGCGGGCACCAATAGCCTGCTTGATGGAGCAAGCAACAGGGAAGTGTGGCCTGGGACCTGTCTGTGAGGGTATAACTCTGGAAAGCAGTCACAGGTGTATCAGAAGATCTTACAACAACAACTAGTGTGGCCCGTAGGTTAAGAGGCAGTGTCAGAGGCTAGGCTTTACACTCAGCCTCTTGTTTTCTCGACGTCTTCACAGTTAAGCATATTTGGCTTGGGTCGTGTCTGTCTGCCTGCCTGTCTAGTCTCAGTATTGCCATGCCACACAGACTTAAGCATCAAGACCAAGACAAAAAAATCAGTTATTTGTATTCACTGTGATTAGGTGAATAAGACAATATACGGTTTTGGCATTTTGTCGAGAAGTTTTGTCCACCAGATTATCACCTAACACAGACACGAATAAACAAGAACATTATATATATATATATATATATATATATATATATATATATATATATATATATATATATATATATATATATATATATATATAATATATATATATATATTATATATATATTATATATATATATATATATTATATATTATATATATATATATATATATATATATATATATATATATATATATATATATATTATATTATATATATATATATATATATATATTAATATATATATATATATATATATATATATATATATATTATATATATATATATATATATATATATATATATATATATATATATATATATATATATATATATATAATTAAGGATGCGCAGACTTGTTAGAAATAATGAAACTATTGGTAGTTTGTTCTCGCAGATGATATAGATAGAGAAGAGGGGAACCAGAGGAGACATGATTACGACTTACGCGGTACTTGGCGGGCGCGTTAGAGCACAGTTGGTTTGAAAGGCGGGTACCGGGGACAGGGAGGGGATAGGTAGAGGTTGAAGACGCAAATAATATACAGGAGTGTCAGAATGAGTGGTGGAAATATGTTTCGCTACACACCTTTAAGATTAGGTACGATATGGCCCATGCGGCCAGGAATAGTGTGTGACCGTTCGTGAGTAGTTAAGAGACGGGGCAGAATCACGTGACCTGGCCCAACAGATGTATTCGAGCACAGTTGATACGCACTCTCAGTAAACAAAACTTCTCATCTCTAATAACTCGTGAAAAATATTTTTAATCTTTTATCTAGCATGTGTGTGTGTAACTTTTTTTTTTTTTTAAACCTTTTCTAAGTTCACTGTACGTGGCGATGAAATAACTGATCACTATCCTGGTGTCCTGGAGTATGGGAGTGACCGTCTAGGTTCGGCTACATGTCCATACTATCTGGGATGTGGCTGTGTACCTAAACTACTGTTGTGATGCAGTGTGTCAAGGATCGAATCCTGCTGTGGACTGAGATAATATATGTACATATAAATATATATGTCGTGCCGAATAGGTAAAACTTGCGATTTTTGGCTTAAATAGCAATGCCCCTCTTGCCAAATAGAGCAAGCGAAAATTTGTATATGTAATAATTTCCCAGAAATCATTCTGAATCTAACGAAAAAAATATATTTCATTTTGTTTATTATTAAATTGTTGTAAACTTATCTAAAATATATTTAGTTGGATTAGGTTAAATTAAATTGCGCTTGTTATAATAATGTTAGGTAACTTTTCTAATGTTCTTTTGGTACAAAATTATTAATTTTGACATTAACATAAATTCCAAGCCCTTTCGTGACTTCTCACATTATCAAGGAACTATAAAAACAATACATCAAAGGAAGGCATATGAAGGGTCAAGACTACACCACACCATCACATCCCACAACAAAGCAACACCTCACACACGCGTGACGACACCCCACTCTGTGGAACACACCTAATACTCTGCCCAAGAATTAAGATTTATTACTTGTTTAATGTATCATTAAATTCTTCCCAAATTTTATTAATTCTAAATGAATCCAATTTATATAAACCAAAGGAAATATTCATATTTTCAAAACTGCTTTTTATGAGACATTATTCAATTATATTCGTGTCGACCATGGACTTGCTTGATACTACTTTCTCAACTTTTTGAAAATCAGTTGGATGGTTAAAATCTCTAACATGAATAAATAGAGCATTGGAATCTTGTCCAGTTCTAATGCTATATTTATGTTGTTTTAATCTAAGTTCGAGACTTTTAACCAGTTCGACCGTAATAAATTTTATCGCAAATTTTACAAGGAATCTTATAGACACATCCGTCAGCATTTTGGGGGGAATTCTTTATTAAAAGTTTTTTTTACTGTATCAAGATTTTTTAAATACATCTTTGTTATTAAAAGTCTTAAGAAGAGACGGCATATGAACCACACACACATACACACAGACACACACACACCAGGGCCAGGAGCTCGGACTCGACCCCCGCAACCTCAACTAGGTGAGTACACACACACACACACACACACACTCGACCCCTGCAACCACAAATAGGTGAGTACGTACACACACACACACACACACACACACACACACACACACACACACACACACACACACACACACACACACACACGCGCGCGCGCGCGCGTATTTGTGAACGACATGACGGAAGGAATAGACTCTGAGGTGTCCCTGTTTGCAGATGACGTGAAGTTAATGAGAAGAATTCACTCGATCGAAGACCAGGCAGAACTACAAAGGGATCTGGACAGGCTGCAGACCTGGTCCAGCAATTGGCTCCTGGAGTTCAATCCCACCAAGTGCAAAGTCATGAAGATTGGGCAAGGGCAAAGAAGACCGCAGACGGAGTACAGTCTAGGGGGCCAGAGACTACAAACCTCACTCAAGGAAAAAGATCTTGGGGTGAGTATAACACCAGGCACATCTCCTGAAGCGCACATCAACCAAATAACTGCTGCAGCATATGGGCGCCTAGCAAACCTCAGAACAGCATTCCGACGTCTTAATAAGGAATCGTTCAGGAACCTGTACACCGTGTA